CTCGTACATCGGGCTTTTAGCAAATGAAGGATCACATCCAGCAATGAGGGCGAGTTTTTATTTCCGAGCCTTTCATCTGTTCACAATTCTCATGATATGGATCAATAAAACAGACTTTTCATAAGGCGAATTTAAAAGGAACGAAATTATGATAACAACGTAACATAAAGCAACTTCTTCAATACTTTTTTATTAGTTCTGGAGACACAGGTTTTAACAAAAAGAATCTCTCTGCTATCTGTGCAATGAATAAATTAATTATTGTAGGGTTATCTGTTGAATTCTAAATAGTAAAGAACTTTTCAAGTGTTATATTTGCAAACGTAATTGTAAGGAAAGAATATTTATAGTGCTCTTAACCTAATTTCAAATGCCTATGGTATGGCATACTTTTAGGGAAGGTATTTTATGGAAGCCACAGTAAAGCTAAAACTTCAAAAATCCAGTCCTTGCATTAGCAAGTTAATAAAACAATCTTTAAACCTGATAAAGTAATGCAGTAAAATGTGTCTGGATTTCACACTTCTAACCGCAATTGAAATTTGTGATGTTTTCATTGGCCCATTGGATTATCTAATTCCTGATATTATCAGGATATAGGCTTTATGGGCTATGTAAATTAATATCTAATTAAATGAATTACCTTTAAAACTTGAGTAGTTAATTTTAAATACACCACCATTTAATCGACTTCTATACGGTAAAACCAAATAATTTTTAAAAGAGATCCCAGTAAAATTGTGGTTAAATCAAAATCTATTTCATGTTGGACGAAGAGAAGCCCATTCTGGTGGCCTTACAGTTGAAAGCTCTATTAACATGTCACAAACTAAATACTAAGATTTCAATTTAATTTTCACAAAAAACCTTAATCCAGTGTCTTAGCGAGGTTCCCTATAGGGATGCAGCTATTACCTACGTGGCACGGCTGTTAACTAGCGTGTGAAGCTTAAAGTAATTAATAATGAATAGCGTTGTTTTTAGGGTTAAATTTTAAGATAACAGTTGAGAAAAAAGTGCACATTTAAAACACTTATATTATGGGCAAAAAGTAAACCGTTGTAATTTTTATCTTACATAAAACGGCACTATTTTCATTTTCTGTAGCAGCAAACCTAGGTACACATGAGATCTAATGATATTTAAATATTGACAAAATCTGACAAGTTAAGGGAAATTACCAACGAATGGTAAATTGCTAGTATGCCGGTTTTCTGCAGTGGTGGTATTTTGTAAATATTATTATAGTGGCAACACGACTTCGAACACGATTCTTTTGTGTTGGATTACAGTTGTATGTAAATTATGTGATTACGGTAATATTACCCATTTTACTACAACTGTTTCATCAGTTATATAAAATGTGTACGTGTCCACTGTGAACCATTTTATAAATTCTGTGTGTCAGATGCGATGCTTGCAGATGAAAACTCGTTTTCATCCTGGTTATGACGCTTAATTTGCTGAAAGCTCAACATGCGAGGTGCCAGTAAAAAAGTACGCTTTTCACAAACCGGATGTGTATAGTTGGAAAGATTGGTGTTTGTAAACTATAAATAATTGCACTGTAAGTTATTTTACATCAACAATATAATTGGTAATCTGAGATTGTTTATAACTTCTATACACTTTTAAGACCACTGGTCTAGTTATCAAAAGAGTGTTTCAATGAATTGAGTATACTTTAAAAAAAGTCATACTTCGATAAACCTTTGTTGTATTATTTTTTAAGTTTTTATTAACAGTTTAATGCAAGTGAAACTAAAACTTGTCCATGAAAGTACTATATATTTTAAGTTGTATTCTCTAAATACCCTACACAATACAAGAAAGATAATTAATATTTCTAAACGTAATGAGACTATGTATGATGTGATACTTAAATAATAATACGCTTACTGCCCCATATGCATGCAGAAAAATGAAAAGATTATTTCAGTAGAGAAACAGTATGTACAAATGAAAAATTGTGAATTAATTTGTTTACAGTGCTGAGTTGTTATTTATAGAGTAATGTAATGGAACAATAAACATTATGAATGATGCAGCTTATTGAAACTTTACCTAAGGTTATGTTGTGATATTTTACCAAATTTATGTACTCTGCATGACTTTTATGTTAAATTCTCTAAATGGAAAGGCTAAAACAAATTGATTATATTTTACGCTTACATGACTGCACCTTAATATATATTACACCTAAATCATACAACTTATATGATTTTTTAACCTTCATATAATTCAGAAAAATCATTAGTTAAAATTAAATTATAGTTGTTTTAGTATAATAGTACTGTATATTACACCATAGAGAAGAAAGGGTAGGTAGCCTACACTAAAAATATTTTTCTGGCATTTTACTAATTTAAAGTATCCAACAGCTCACAGTAATCAACAAAATTCTGAAAGTCAATTTAAAAAATCCAAGTGGCTAATTTGACTTACTCAACCATCAACCTTCAAAATTCATCGCAAGGATTCCATGTTATGTTATAAAAAGTAATTGAAAGAAAATGGATTATAAAAATGTCAGAACTGTGAATGAATTGAAAACGAATTACAATTCTTTTGATCTTATATTATTTTATTCTTACATAGATCCTTTTCTGCACAACAGATCAGCGAGTCGTCAAGTGATGGTAGTAGAGCCTGTGTAAGTCTTGTAATCTTTCTTTAATTCTGAATCAAGTATTTTGCCAATAACTTAAGGTTTGTAAGGTACTATAGCCAATCAATCTCCTATTCTTTGATTACCATTTGAAAAAAAAAACACCAAACTGCTATCAGGTTTTAAAAGCCTTCATAGCGTAAGATTATAAATAGTTTACTGTCGTTTTATCACCGTGCAATATTCTTCAAGAGATTGCGCTGACAAAGTTTTCGTTTGTTTACTCTCGCACAGGGTAAAAGTTAAATTGAGCATTAAATCACTTTTTATTCTTCAAAATTTCTCTATGTTATGTTTCCAATTTATATAAGTATAATAATTCAAATATCGCTGTAATTCATAGAATACAATTCTAGTAAACATAATCTTGCAATAAATTGTTATGAGGTCCTTCACCCTTAAAGTTTTAAAGCATAGTGAACCCTGTCAAATAACACTTATAACTAAAAATTGAAATTATAGCTATAAGAATCTAAATAACCACAGAGATTGAAGATTTTTTAATTAAAAATCCATAGAAGCTCAATAAATATTGAACTTGTGTAAAGCAATGGACTGGTGTGCTTTACATTTGCATTTATGATTCGTATATTTCAATAATCCAAAACAATTTGGTTCAAAACAAGAATAAATTAAAAAATGCAATGTCATTCTCGTTATATTCGATAATATATTTCCCTAATTTAATATACTGTATATTAAATATTTTATTCTTACATCCTTGTCAGATGATACAAATTTTAAATGTATTTACAACATCAAAACTTTGTTATAAATAGATATTAGAGAAGATTCGAGAAATACAGTTATTATGAATAGTCGTCCCATATAAATCGTACATTTTTCTGCAAGAATAGTGAACCCGTTTGCAAATTAAATACTATCCTTGCATGAAAAAATATATTTTTTCCTTTTTTTAGCTCTCTCTTTAAACCTTGCATTTGCCCATCCACATAGACTTACTGCCTGTGGGTGGAGCGTATCCAGCAAAGCAAGGTGTGAGCCTTTACAGTACGAAGGTGAACTGTACTGATAAAATGTTTGCGGCAGTGACCAGGATTCGAACCCACAACCGTCGCTGCCTTCGGCCCGAAGTCCGTTACGCTACCGACTGAGCCACCGACTCACCAACAATCACAGTAGTACCAATTGTTATACAGTAGTTGTGGGGCATATGTATTTTCGTGGGATTTTGAATTGAGCAATTGTATAATTGCCGGTGACAAAATGGTAATGAAATTTAGAATCGTGTACTACCGGGCGTTTTGTCATCAAGTGTGGCGTGGCCTAGCTGGTGTGTGACGTCATATTCCAAGATGGCCGCTAACAGTGACATTGATGCATTTCTAGCAAAACCTAAAGTGAGACATGTACCTTATTCATTTAACATTTAATTATTTTGATTTGGAAATTGTTCTTTAGTTAAAGACATATAATTGCATCATACACCAGCTCAGCCACACTTTCAGACAAAACACCTGGTATTACACGATTCTATATAGCTCGTACCTATCTGTCATATAATTGCTTCATTCAAAATCCCATGAACTTTCCTATATTTACAAATGTCCCTACACTATTATGCCTGAATATTATGCCGATGAAAAATGTTTAGTATTTTCATAGAGTCCCGAAAAAAGCTTTCTTCTATTTATGCTTTTTACTTAAACAAGTAGCAAAAAATATCGAAATGTAATTTTTAAAAGTATAAATACATGTGATTCTATAAAAAAGTAATTGGACTATCAATTGATGGCTTAAACAGAACATTGTAAGAAGGTTAAGAATACGTATTTCCCAACAACAATAAGAACTATTAAAAATCTTTGCTAATGTAAAAAATTATCTTAATAAATCCGTATTTTATTTCCAAAACAATATCTTTTGAAAATATCAAATATTACTGCGGTGTTATGAGCTTGATTTCCCTACGTAGATTGTACAAATGGTCAACCTGGCGTTGGAGGTTTCAGCAACAGCTTTGATAAATATAAAGGAGGAACAATTAAAATTGAAAAAGTGAAATAAAGAATAATGATAATGTACAATAAAAGAATAATAAATAATAAAGAAAAATAGAGTTAAACATGTTTACTCAAGAAAGTTACCTGTTGACATCGTCAAAAGTAAATTTGTATTTCTTAAAAATTTATTTTACTATACTATGATCTACGTATACTCTAATATAGGATGGTAATTTTATAATCCTCTATTCTCTTTTAGTTTTCAGACACTTATGCGAATTGAAATAGTGTCCGTTTAAAAGTATAACACTAACATTTTTACTCAGCAGTTCTAGGAATCAATGAGCTAAATAAATAGTTAAAACAAGAACCGTTCAAATAATTTATTCTGCCAAAATAATAAAATACAACACACATAAATATTTTAGCTTACTTCAGACTAACATAGTTGTTAGCTGGACATCATGACCATAATATAATATCTTCTTCCATTTCCATTGGTTTTACTGACGAATACTGTGTTGGTTAATCTGTTGTTGTTGGTTGCTCTGTTGTTGTTGGTTGCTCTGTTGTTGATAACTCATTATAATAATCGCGCATGATCCCATCAAACTTCAATATTGACTCGTTGAAAATGTCCCATTCCTGGACAGTATAAATATTAGGAAACGGTGTCACTGCATAATGGTCCCCATTTTCGCCAAACAAACATCTTGTACAGTTATACATAGTCTTCTCTGCATCCAGTATCAATCTCGAACGCCTTAGATCATAACAAGTCTTTTTTTCAGGCATTTTTGGGGCAGCAAATCTAGAGAAATAATATTTTCTGAACTCACCCATTACCTTTTCCCACTCCCACTCAATATTCTTTCTTGCTAGCGCAGCACATTTTTTAATAGTTGCTAGGTTGAAGATTTCTATAGGTCTTTGTCCAATGCATCTTAAGACTGCAACATTCCCTGCTTCTTGAAGCTTTGAGTTAAATGTTTTGATTGTGTTTTTAAATGTATCAAAATCTTGAATATACTGATTCTTGTAGTATTCACAGCACTCCTGGTTGTCCTTTCCAGCTGAAACGTTATTGTTTATGTATTAATATTAAATAAAAAATCTAGAACAGTTAAAAATATTTAATAATAGTTTTCAAAAGGCGTAAATAAAAATTATCACAAAATGTGTAACTAATACGGTAAAACATAAGCTAAACAAACGTTGGTCGTTTTTTTGTACAATAGTTATGATTTCCTAAAATGAATTTTCAAGTGAGTATTCTTATACTGAAATTTAAATCAATAAAATAGAAAAACGTATGATAGAAAAACAAATAACCGATTACTACCTTCAGCAATATACGTTTTCAATGATTTATTAGCTTCCAAATTACAAGCTCTCTCTTTCTTAGATCTGTTTTCTTCCCAGGTCTTATTTAAGGCAATAAAGTAGGGGTAAAGTAGGCTTGTATAGTTATCTTCATTGTTGATTGCCAAGTTATAGTTCTCTCGTGCAATTTGTGAACTATAATATGCCAGAGCTTCGGTTAGCTTTTTATCGTACGCAAAGTTGAGAGCCTTGTAAAAGTGTGCGAAAGATGACAACGCATCCTTGGATAGCAGACCGTAGTTGTCCTGCTTCTGAAATAACAAAAGTGGTAAAGGGTAAAAATATTGTAAAATCAATGTAAAAAGATATATTAAAGAGTAAAACTACTATAGTTTTCTTTATGTGGTTAGAAACCGAATAGCATTCACTGAGATATATGTTAGGAATTGAAGGATGAGGTGACTATCAATTTAAGAATGGAGGCCTATACAAATTAGTATTTTGCTATTATCTGTCACACATAAACTTTTCACGTATGTGTTGTTCGTTTCTAGCTTTTCTAAGCAACTACAAAATTAGTGATGAAGCGATTTCTTTGAATATTAAATTATTTAAGTGCGATAAAATAAACACATGGAACCCAAACAGTATTAAAGATATTTTTACCACGTAGATCTCTAGGCCAATTTCTTGGTTCGAATAAAGAAAAAGAAATCAAGTTTTAAGAATCATGTAAACACTATAAGTCCTCTTCTCTTTACTCTTTATGTTTATTGGTTTTTTTTTTATTTTTGTTAGTAAAAAATTAATATTTTAAGTTTGCAGATTCTTCTTATACAGGGTGTTCATTTGAAAACTTTCCATATCTGTTGTGTGCAAAGGTAAGGCTTTTACCACTTGTTTGTTCTCATTTCCCCCTAATTTGGACATGCCAAATCCAATGAAATTATTTTCAATTTCGAAAAATGCCCCAAAAGGGCCCAATTTGGGGGGTAGGGGTGCTTTTTGAGAAATTTTCAAATGTAAACATGGGTTGTGTGATACATCAATTTAAAGGTCTAATCATCCCGACTATTTTGGTGCAATAAAAATGTAATTATCTTTAACCGTATTTACAGGGTGGTTCAAAACATTTTAAAAAAGGACTTTGAGGTTATGTACCGTATTACCCGAACTACTGAACGGAACAGCGCCAAATTTATTTCCAAGCTTATTATTGATCTACTCTTTAAGATAACTTGTAATAAGGGCATTTTCCATGTTATTTTCTAATTTTTAAAAAATCTCAAATTTTAAGAATAAAAGAAAGCTGAAAACTCAAAATTCTTAAATAGCAAGGTATAACAAATTTCATACCACATGAAAGGTCCTTTTTTAACAAACATTTTACGTATTTAAGTTTTCTTTCTATCTCTTACCGTTTAAAAATTACAGCAGAAAAACTTAATTTTCCATAGTAATATTGTAACTAGTTTTCTAATAAAACAGCCAAAATTCGTCTCTAGACACATTTAATGGTGCATTAACTGAAGGAAACAATTCATAATTATTGATACCCTGATTGACAAACAAGTTATTACGTTTTAATTTGTGAAAAACAAGTCGTATAGCTGATGAGGACAACCTACATGTGGGCCGCTTTTTGTAGTACCATTGACTAGTCAATGGTAGTACTAATTTCAAAAAGTACTATTTTCTATAGTATCTAATCGAATATGGTGTACACTTTAAAAAATAGACTTTATTTTTACTTATTGGGCAGAACAAAAGTGTTTCAGGATAACTGCAAAGTGTTTAACAAAAAATATCCAGGTAAGACCTTAAGTCATAAAGCTGTAAATGATTTAGTTAAGAAATTTCTGAAACTGGCTCAGTTACCAATGAGAAAAGAACAGGATGGAGGGTCCAAGATGAACTGACACAAGTAAAAGTAGTTGATCAATTTGTAATTAATCATAATACATCGTTGAGCAAAGTGCAATGCGTATTTTGTTAGAAAACTAGTTATAATTTTACCATAGAAAATTCAGTTTTTCTACTGCAATTTTTAAACGGTAAGAGATAGAAAGAAAACTTAAATACGTAAAATGTTTGTTAAAAAATTACCTTTCACGTGGTATGAAATTTGTTATACCTTGCTATTTAAGAATTTTGAGTTTTCAGCTTTCTTTTATTCTTAAAATTTGAGATTTTTTTAAAATTAGAAAATAACATGGAAAATGCCCTTATTACAAGTTAACTTAAAGAGTAGATCAATAATAAGCTTGGAAATAAATTTGGCGCTGTTCCGTTCAGTAGTTCGGGTAATACGGTACATAACCTCAAAGTCCTTTTTTAAAATGTTTTGAACCACCCTGTAAATACGGTTAAAGATAATTACATTTTTATTGCACTAAAATAGTCGGGATGATTAGACCTTTAAAAACCCATGTTTACATTTGAAAATTTCTCAAAAAGCACCCCTACCCCCCAAATTGGGCCCTTTTGGGGCATTTTTCGAAATTGAAAATAATTTTATTGGATTTGGCATGTCCAAATTAGGGGGAAATGAGAACAAACAAGTGGTAAAAGCCTTACCTTTGCACACAACAGATATGGAAAGTTTTCAAATGAACACCCTGTATAAATAACTAATGAAAATGCACAAAACGATATACAGGGTGAGCTTCTACTGACGCCCACAACTTCGTCAGTGGATTCTGATCAAAAGGAACAAAAAAGTTCCAATAAACCCTAGTCCGATTCCGAAACGTTTGGTCGTAATTCAGAATTTTGTTGTTTTCTATAAATATTGAACTTTCTGTCACTATTTACTTTATAAAAATAAAACCGAAGATCTTCTTTCAAAAACTGGATATTCCACCTGTTGACGTAAAGTTTGAATGTAGACCATGTCTTTACTTACTTGATAAACTTGATGATATCCAACGCAAGATCGTATTTCATTAAAAAGTTTTTCTCTTTTATCTGCTATTTCATTAAATACTTTGTGAGTACAGCTCAGAATATCATCAGTGAAATGGGCCATACATTTGCTTTCCGTGAATGTTTTACAGGCTTCTTTAGTTTCTATTTGAGTTCCGTTGATTAATTTTTCGATGCACTGATCTCTATGTGTTTCTGCATTTTTATTGCTATACACTAAACAGCCATCTATGCTATTTAGCGTATGGTTAATAGCACTCTGGTATTTAAATCTTTTCTTTTGCATATCTGTTGTGATGTCATTTTGTACTATTGAAGACGTTGCAGTGCATCTTAAGAAACTGTAAACCCCTGAAACATTTTCAATTCCAAAGATTAATTAGGTCCATCATAAAACAGCCTATTTTAGGAGTAAAAACCCATGCAAGTATATCATGTTAAAATAAACATTATCACGAATGAAATAAAAATGTTTATCGTAGGAAATATTTATTTGAGTCATTTTATTCATTTGAATTTGTATCTAAAGCTTAAATTATCATATTAGTACCATTTCATATACCAGTAGGCTAAATTTTATGATTTGGTGGGTTATATTATACGGTATACCTTTCTACCTTGATTGTAAAAATTTATAGCGGTGAAAATTCTGTCTATGCATAATTTTCTTTCGAATTGCTTGGATATAGTTAAACAATCTAGTACAATTGTTTTTTTAAGGTAAGGCTAGATTTTATTCAGGTGCTAACTGCCCAGGGAAATACTAAGCCAGAAAATTACTCGATGTTTTACAAAACAGTTTAATGCTATATACAAATCCTATGAATTTTGTGTAATATATATTCGTATAGTATTTAATTCAAACAATGTCATTTTTTATTATATTGGTTGACATACCTCTGAAATGTACTTTTCGGGGTTTTCAATGCATACTTTGCAGGTCTAAACTAGCTCTAGGGAGTAAAAGACGTTTTAGCCCCTAGGGAGTAAAGATAACCTGTAGTGAACTCAGTTATGATTTCGATTGTAACCAGTTGCATGTATAAAAAGTATTTGTCGATTGTTTAACCGGATTGTAGCTTATGGTTGCCTTATTATAAATAGTTGGACATATCGGTAGTATAATGTTCACTAACACACTCGTAATGGACGAAACGATTGAATCACTTACTAAATATTTGTTTCGATTAGCATAGAAGTAGTTTTAAGAGGTTGTAAACAAAAACTATTTTAGCTTTGTAAAACACATTTTGTTCATATAATGAAGCAATATGGTGGAAAATATAGTTTATTATACGAGCACAACAAGTTTTTTTTCAACCCACGCTTATTTTGCTTCGCTTCGATCAAATAAATTAAGCTCGGGTCGAAAAGAGTCACTTTATGCCCTAGTTATTAACATACTATTGTATTCGTTATATATTATTATCGTTACATTTATACAGTGACACACACTTAGGAGTGTATTTTAAGCTAAATATTAATGCAAAAAAAAGTGTAGAACGAAGCAAGATGATCTGAGTGAGTGTGTAGCTTTGTAAGTGAATAATATCAGCTGCTTGCTTTAACAGGGATTTTTATTTTTATGTTTTTTTTCTTATTTGATTTAAAGCCAAATAGTTTTATCAAGCTAGTTTTTTGGTCAAAGATATCATCGTTACAATACTGAGATTTGTTTTCATTCGCAGTAAGTCCTTAAGATCAAATTACAAATCTTTTTGCATAATCGGGAAAATTCGATATAGTGGTTTCAATAAACTTACCATCATCAACAGCTTCCTTAATTTGGACTGTAATATCTTCGCTGCACCTCTGTATTTTCCTGTCTCCAACACGTTTAGCTTTATTTAAATGTCTTGTTGCATCAATCATAAGCAAGTTCAGGTCATTCCCCATTTTATCTCTCATCAGATCTAATACTTTCTCTACCTCCTGACATGTAAGATTTTCTGTCGTCCACCATCTCTCATAAATATGCTCGTCTTTGAATCTAACCATTTCTTTAGATGTGTTAACCATTTGTTCCGGAGAAAGGTGTTCTAAAGATACAGTATTATAGACCCAATATCTTACGTCACCAGTAACACTTGCCTGCAATGAAAAAAAATACTAACATTTAGTGATATACTCAGTTATATGTATTTGGAGACTATATCACACATTGACAAAGGTTTGAACTTTGGATAAAATATGTTGAAATAAAATACCAAGCTATACATTGAATTATCACAGTGTTTTATATTTTTCAAATATAATTGTACGAAACATTTATAATTTAAGATTGTAATAATCTAACCTTTTTATACTGAGGGAAAAATCAATGATTCAATAATTTAGGCCTATACCGTTTGATAAAAAAATACCCCCGCCGCAGCAAACCTGCAGACTAAGCGAATTTCAACTGTCTGATTACATTTTTACTAAAATATTTAGATAAATAAAACATAAGTTATATATTTCCAATTTAAATAACATAAGATTTAACGAGTGCTTAGGTTTGCTGCTACGGGGGAGGTAAAAAGTGTTTTTGACAATATGTCAATAGTATAGGGTAAAATAAATAAATTTGCCAAATTTTATCAACATTATATCCATAAACAAGTAAATTACAACAGTTTTAATTTTCTCCATAAGAATAACATGGGAATTTTAAATTACACTTTTTTTAATTTTCTCCGTGACCGTTAGGCATACAACAGCGCTTCAATATACTAAATTATTTATTTTTTTAAGCTCTACAAAATGGTTGAGAAAGAAAATACAAAATGTTTTGTTTTTAGGTTAAAAAATGGGAAAACCCCATTTTAACCCCATAAAACCCCCCATAAACCCCTGTTCCCATGGTCCGATTATGCTGGTTCGCGAACTCGTTCGAATAAACGTAGGTTTACACGTTTGTACCAAATTTCATCAAAATCGGATCATTTTTGCTCGAGTTATCGCGCTAACGGACACATATATAAATATATATATATATATATATATTTATATAAATATATATATATGAATTTGAACGGATGGTGTTTTTGGCCACTGGGGACCTCAAAACAAAAAAGTAAATCGGTCCGGGGTCTAGGTCTTACCATGAGACCTACGGTAATAGCTTATTTCCTATATGGGAAATTCGCTAAAAAACGATGGATAAAAAAAAATATAAACTTGAATATTTTTGTAGTGAGGTATTTATAGTATTTATCAAACTATTTTATAAACCAAACCGATAATGTCAAAAGAATAATCTTAAAGCTGTTAATTATGTATTTAAGCTAACACAATATTTCAAATATATTTATAGAACAACAAAAAAACAATATGATATATGAAATTTAACATGTTATAATTAAATCCATACGACAATCTTTAAACTAAAATTACAATTTGTTATAAGTTGTAAAACTGTCACATTAACTGGATGCTGTGGCAACGTAATTCAGAGTTTTTATTTAATTTTTATTTTATGTAATTATGGTGGAATAAATCATCATTTCATTATTTCAACTTGCTCCTTTGGTAAAAGATTTGTTAAAGTTGTTCATAAGTAAAACATACATGTAATAACTATCACCAAAATGTTAAACATTTGTGATTTTTTCTGTATACTGTAATTATTTTAATGGCTTATTTTACTTCTACGTTATAATTTCCTTAGCAATAAGGTATGCCAACAGTATTGTTGCAGTAAGACCTTTAGGATAATTTTTTTATGTTTTTTTCTACAACAATCGTCAATAATCAATTTTGTTCTCAAACTTCTTTTTGTCCTCACCTACATATCCAAATAACAAATAATTTTACATGATCATTTTCTTAAATTCCATTTTATATATAGCTTTAACAAAAAAAAAAAAAAATTTAATCATTCTTTACTTACAAAGCATAGCCACAAAACTCCTATACAAAGCATGGTGGACGACTTCTCCATGGTTTAAACTATGCTCTGCTTTGGAATGACACTGAAATAGTACAAATTAATTAGTTATAATACATATCAATCAAAACAGAGCAATAAGACAACTTAGTGGTTCTTCTTCTTTTCCCTAAGAGACTAGTTTCTAGTCAGGTACCCTTTTCACACACCACCATGCTATTTCTAGGGATTGCTGTATTATCACTCAGATAAAATCCATTGGTGATTGGCGGGATACAAACACAGGACCTCAGAAACCAAAGTCCCGCGCTTTACCACTAGACCAGCTTTTTCTCACAGCTTAGTACTTAGTGGTTACAACTAAGTTAACTACAAGTCAAAACCAAATCCATGCAATAAGGGTTAAACATTTATGCTGTACACCCTAAAACAAATACTTAGATAAATCCGTTTATTTAAGAAAGTTTTTTTTGCATTTTCAGGCAATTTTAACTCACACAATACTACGATCATCCTCCTTAAATATACGGGTTTCAGGTAATTTTCATACACTATTTTCAATTTAAATTTAGTTTAGATATTAAAGTTTGTCTTCGTTTAAATTTACGAAGTTTAGAAGCTGGACTATACATTCAACTATCAGTCCTGTTACGTTCCAAAGCATTACGTTATTGTGTATCTCTATGTTGTTTTAAAAATTGTATAGGTATACCTGTGGATAGTGTATTTTTCAATAAAACATTTATTTATGGATAGAAAACAAAATAAAATGGCTAAAGTAAAATTTAGCCAAAAGACACACGGTAAATATAAAGTAATCCCAACGAAATAAACCAAAAGTAAAGATATACTCACAATTGTAGTTCTTAAAACGTAATATTTACAAATAGATCCAAGTCTTATATAAAGTGTTACAAAGAAAAAATCTTCTATATATTTTCAATGTATTTATAACTTACCTTTGTTCACTGCCAAGTCCCAGCTTCCAATGCCAACACCAGCGAAGTTGTTGGTTATATACTCATGTTGATTGTCCGATTGTGCCATTTTCATGGTCTGATAACACTAATAACTTAGACTACATAAACAGGCAGCTTTCAAAGAACACCAGTAAAACTTCTGACGTTTTGGGATACCGCTATGTTCAATATATTCCCATTGTGACAGAAATAGTTATTTGTGTAACTAGTGGTGAAAGTGGCACTTTGCTGCACACGAGAGCAATGTTTACGCACGAGCCGCAGGCGAGTGTGGAATGATCTCGAGTGCAGCAAAGGCCTTTTTCACTCGTGTTACACATTATATTTTTCCTACAGTCACTATAAAGCATATAAATAATTAGTCTTTCAAACACTATGCAACACGTTTTTAGGTTCAGCTGGCAACACAAATGGTGCCCTAGAGAAAGTAGTACCCGCGGTCCATATCACTCCGCTATTTTTCCTCGGCAAGAAATGTGCTCCGAGTTTTGAGAATATAGTTCCGTATGTTTTTGTAATTTGAAGTGGTTTCCGCGCCCAAAAAAAAATGCTTAAAAGGTATTTTCTTGTTTATTAAGATCGTAGGAAGGTTTTAAAAACGTTTAAAAGAAAAGTCCAGAAAGTTCAGAAATACCGAAACTATAAACACGAAATGACAGGTTAAATCGTAGTTATAATAGTCAATCAGCTGCTCATAGTATAATTATCTGTAAGTTAAGTGTTGCCAACCTATTTCCAAGCGTACACGGATTACGTGCATAATGGAACCACGCTGTTTTGTGTTGTTTCGTTGGAATCCTGATGTGCGGCAAAGTATAAACCGTACGGCAAAGTATAAATATGCAGCAATTAGCAGCTTTCTGTACTATAAACAGTACAAGGAAGCCAACTTTGTCGGGCGACTGTAGGAAAACGATTTTATTTGTTTACAAGCTTATTTAATAACCTGATGACTAAATAGATATATTAACGATGAAACTGTTTTTTTTTTCATCATATCTCTAGGAACCAAAATACTTTGTAAGGAGTTTCCGTCATAAGTTTAAATCAATCAAAACTCTTGCTCACAAATTAGAAAAAGCAGTCTTGCCTATTCCGTCAAACTAGAAAGATCAATGATGTTACAGGTATGATACAATGTATCATCTTTAAATGCTATACAACTCAGCTATTTTATCACATTTAAAAGTCATTTCCTATACAAAAATTAAAAAATATTATGAAAATGTACACAGTATATATTCATGATTAAAGATAATGGTAAGTAAATAAATATGTTAAAGCACGTGAGAGATTAGCGTTTGGGTTATATCCTGATGAAAATACCTACTTCAGTGTATAAATCTAGAATCTTCTTACAAAAATCCCTAAGTTCCATGTTTCATGGGGCATTCATTTTGCCTCTCAGGTTACTTATGAAGAATACAAAGTTATCGTTCATCTGTGATTCCTGAATAACCGAAGAGTTATTTAATCTGAAGGAAATATTACTCTCAGTGACCTGGAGAATGGCAAAATACATTCATACAAAAACTTATAATTGGACCCGTTTAGTACTCGTTGCACCGAAGCTGATTTTACGTATTGCATCACAATAACCTACAATTCATACAAAAATTTACACAAATTCTACACTAAAAATTAACCATTTAGCAAAAATGAAAGTTTTTAAATTTTATTACCTGAAAGCACACAAAATAGTCAAATAACACTTGTAACTATATATTTACACTTATACTGTTTACTCAGAAGACGGTAAATACATTGTACGTGTTATTAAATTTACAGAAAGTAAATAAAAGAAACGTCTTATAACACTTAAAACATATTATATTTACGCTTATACTGATACTCACAAGACCGTAAATATACATTTAAAAGATGGTAAGTGGTGAAAGATTTCGATTGGACATTCCAATCATCATCAGACCCAATAGGCGATTTTTTTTATTTTCGGCGTAATTTTATTTCTACTTGCAAATACGATTCCAAATAAAATTTGAAAACTTTCTAATAAATTATATTTATCTCCTTGAATACAGTCTACAGTCGAAATCTTTTTAACATTACCTATAGGTTTCCCAGAATAACATATCATAAGAGATAACTCGAGGATTATACAAGTAAACAAATTCTTGAATAGGAAGTATTTTTTCCCCTTAAAACATATAACATTTAC